CCAATGTGGCGATATGTCTAGATTGTATGAAGCTTATTCATATTGATAATGTAAAACCAACAAAGACATTCCACCATACTAGAAGTAGATATGTCGAAATTATCAAGTCAGAAGACTTGATGCAAAAACATTGGGATCAGGAGTATAATAAACCTAAATCTCAGGATGGATATGCGAGAATTATTCAAAATGCTTGGAGACGATTTAGGGAAAGAGTACCATCAAATGCCAAACTTGCTTGGAATAGTTTATCAAATGATGGCACCTCAGAGGATAAGAAATTTCTAGGTATAATACCTCGAAAAATAAAAAATCCTATAACTCGTCAACAGTTTGAGTTACGTCTTACTAAGCAAATTGCTGAGTATAATAAATATCAAGGTCGACGCATTATACCTAATAGATATTATGATGAATATTATATTCCGTATGATTGGATAGATTCTAAAAAACGGCAATTGATATATCGGTTTCAAAAGCGACTTTTAGAGCTTGAAGCATAATACACATTTTTTTCGATTGATTTATTTATTTATTAACGTGTACTGTAACTTATTCATATATATCTATTTATTTCGTTATCTTTCCTTTAAGAAAGCTGGTAACATTTTTTGTTAAATTTATGTAATTCTAAATATACAGCATGTATTAGATCAAATCATAGTTTAACAACAAATAAAGGACTCGAAAGTCCCGGTCAAATTATCATTTAATATATATATAACGGATTTCACACTATTTTTGTTTTAACCCGGTGTATCAAATGAAATTCAATCGAGCATATACAGATTTAATAAAGCAGTTAGCGCCTTCCTTAGCTGAAGAATCGTGGTATAGACCCAAATATTGAAGATTTTTTGCAACATGAAATTATAGTTTATAATAGGAAAAAAGAGCGACAGCGTCGAAGTCCATCACCACTTGAAAATTTATCATATAGTATAATCATGACTAACCAGGAAACTCAAACCCTAGATACTGTCCCGACCTGTAATCAGACACATAACTGCTCTTGCTTTGCATGTGAGGAGGCGATCAATTCTCGAGTCAAAAAAGAGTTAGATAGTTTATCCCTACAACTGCTTGAATACAATGAAAAAACTTTTGGCTCTTTTATGCAAGAAATCACTAAAGAGCTTGAGGAGAGGGTTAATACTAATAATAAATTACGTAGTGAAATAGAGCAACAAAAAATACAATTGCAAAAAGTGGAAAAATTACTTGCAAGTCTGAAATCCCAATAATAGGTAGTAAGTATATTATATTATAGCGGAGCTAGTGTCAAGACACATATTTTTTATTGAGATATACATATTTTTTATTTTATCGGAATATACATATATGAAAAATAATAATCTATTCTAAGTATGGAACATTACAGTTTTCGCTATCCAGATAAATCTATATCATCAAAAAATCCATATGCCCCAAAACAACCATTTCGAATATTAGCTAGTGGAACCAGCGAATCGGGAAAAACGGAAATGGTTGCACTCCAGTTTCTTGGAAGTAAATATATAAAAGTATATCCATATATGGTTGGTAATAAAGATAAAGCTCCAAAAAACGAAAACTATGGAGAAAGGTATATTCTTTGTGATGATTTAGTCGTTGTTGCTTTACATAAAGATGAGTACTTGTGGAAAACAGTACAATATTTTTATGAATTTATTGCTAAGGATAAAGAGGCTCCTTGGTATGAGGATGTACGTTTTAAAATAATTACTCCTGATAAATTGCCTGATATTTCAAAATTCAAAAATACGGGTCGGAAAAGTGTTATAGTATTTGATGACCTTGCTGGTGAACCTTTATCAACTCAACTAAAAATTATACCTTTCTTTAGAAGTGGTAGGCATGAGGGAATTAGTTCGATTTACATTGCACAACGTTACTTTGAAACTCACCCAAATATACGTGCAAATTTAACATATATTTCATTACATCGCGGTTGTACATTAGAAACTATAAAACGAATTCTTAAAGATATGTATGATAATTATGAATCTCTAGTAAAAAAAGTTTATGAAGTAATAAAAAAGCATTATGTAATTATTGATATCCGAAGATCAGCTGATAATCCATTATCAATTCGATTTCGTTGGGATAAATCTTTGCTGAAACAGTCACATAGTGAGTAGCGTATCTTATTATAAATCATTGCCAGTATAGTGGAATCTATATTATATTGTTATTTTTTTTCGATCATATGGCACTCTTAGAAGCTTATCGTCGTGAAGAGATTAATTCCAAATATATAATTCGAGTGAGGATATTTAGAATTCTAAGAATATTTGGAATTCTAAGAATATTTGAAATTCTAAGAATATTTGGAATTCTCAGAATCTATATATTTATAAAATGTCGAATTTCCACGAACATTATTCAGAACTTCTCAAAAAATTACCCCCTTCCATAAAAAAGAATATATGGAATCGACTTATTTCTAGAGTACATAATCCTTTATCGGAAGAACAGGCAAGTTGTATTAATCCTGATATTGAAATATTGTTAATTAGTGAGATTGATAAATATACAAAGAAAAAAAATCGTCAACGAATCACCTCTTCTCCTATTCAAAGTTCAGAAATACCCATTCAAACTAGCTCCGAAGTGGTCATCCTAAAGGATAATATACAAATAAGTAACTCTGAGGAAGAAATTAATGCTCGAGTTAAAGAAGCTACAGATACAATGCATCAAAAATTTATTGAAACTACACAGGAAACATTAAATTCTATTAAGCAACAGAAAGATGCAGAGTGTAAACAAATTCGTTTAGATATGGCTCTCAAGTCTAGAAATTTATTCGAACATACATTAAAAAAATATATTCGGGATGGAACTATATATAATCTTATTCATTTATTGGAAGAAGAAGATGGTAGAACTTATCCCGATATATTCAGGAAAAATTGATCTATACATTCCTCCCATCTATTGCGAAGCAATGGCCCTTTGGGTTTAGTTTTTTTTTTGCTCCTCTAACGATTTCTCAGCTAATGTAGTAGCAATTGAATCTGGGAGTTTGAAGTCTTTTGATGCGTGCCATTCTTCTAATGTTTCTGAAGTCTCTGTATCCTGTGCAGTATCCTGTATTACAGCAGTACAACAGCTTGATATCTTACTTGAAGGCTGGTTATCGCTAATATCTCCAGTTGGTTTAGTAAATGTTGGAATAACATAAGACTTACCTCGAACTGTCATCCGAAACTCATGTTTATCTAAATCTGGAAGTCCTTTAACTTTTCGAATATAGGGTGTTCCCATACAAAGAAGATAATCAGGTTCTCCGTCATCAATAATTACAATATTTGCTGTTTCAGTAACCAGGTGCTCTATACCCTGCTTGTCTTTATATATTATTGATATTGGCACATCTTTATGTCCACCAATTAATTTTGTTACATGATCGGAATTGTGTGTAAGATAAAAATTTGGTGCGGTTCCGAGATCCCATCCTAATGCATCATTTAGGGCTTTATTCATTAGATTACATTCAGATGCGCTATCTGGAAATCCTTCTGGAATATCTACATCGTCAATTCTACATTGCATATATTCAATCGATTCAGCCCATTTATTTTTTGTTGATGGATTAGTGATTTTTTTACGCATTGCTGGGGATAATAATTCTAATAGCTGGTCATCCGATTCTGGAAAAAGTTTGTCGAAAGTAGTTACTGGTGAATCGACTATCTTGTTTTGTTGAGGTTCTGCAACTGATGATTTACAAGAAATTATTGCGGGGCAAGCCTGTAGACGATTCTCTGAATCATGGCTCTTCGAGCATACTGATTTATATACCTTGGCACTAGCTTCATTATCTATTGTGGAGCAATGGCTCTTTGAGTCTACTGTTGATATCCGTTTTTTTTTTCAGATTCATAAAATATATCATCATCTCCATTATAGCTAGTTTCATCATCGTTAGTGGAAATAAGATTAAGTGGTACAAAGCCACTTCGATTTGATTTGACATTAGTTGTGTGTCCATCCGCTGATAAATTTTTATATCGATTATACATCTGATTCAGTGCATCGCGGGATTGATTTTCTGCATTCCTAATTTCTATAATCTCATTTCTTAAACTCCTTATTTCATCAGTTTGATTTGAGGATCGCAATCGTTCTGGTTTAGGTTGTACTGGCGGGGTGCCAAAAAGCTTTGTAACCTCACGTAAAAACTCTTCTTTAGTAAACTCTGGTCTATTGGGATCCCCCTGGCTTGCATAATGTTCATGTATTTCTTCATAATCTTTGGGTGGAACTGATGGAGGTATTTTTTTGGGTTGTTTAGTTATTTTTGTATCGAAATCGGCTTTCAATTTTTCTATTTCAGCTTTGTGCTCCGTTTGCTGTTTTTTTAGTAATTCTTGTTGTTTATTAAATCCATCTTGAAGCATTTTTTGAAAATCGTGAGTTGACGCTTGATAAACTATATTTGAAGATATTTGTTTTTGTTCACGAGATTTAATAGCGGAGCTAGTGTCAAGGCGCATATTATTTCTTTTCATTCTGGCCATTCTGATTAATTCGATTTTAGAAAGCTTTTTAGCCAACTCGTTA